GTTTTGAATTGTCATAATTAATTACATAACTAAAGAAATGTCCACGATACAAAACCTACACCATGGTAAAAACCTTTAGTTGAGGTTTGTCAGAGAACATTTGTACATACAAAGTGTAGGAAAACTAACTCTCAGCCTAGATTTATGTGCAGCCTTTGGATCTGATTTTCATTTCAGAGTGATGGAGAAATCCCCAAACTGCCGCTGCTCTCTCACCTCGCTGGTTGCTTTAATCGTCCTGGTCTTATTTCCTCTGATGTCTGAATGTAAGGTGGACACCTACACATCACTGAAAGAGGTAAGACGAGATACATTGATACTCACAAAGTACGGTGAGTTATGACCTAATGCTTCATGTAAATGTACTTAACCTTACATTCTGTTTCTTTCACCTGCTCTATTTTATTAAAATGTATCATACTCTGTTTCATTTGAACTATTTTTATTTTTGTATTATTATTATTGTTATCTCATGTCCTTTATATAATATGTTGCACTGTTGGAGGAGCTCGGGACCTAAGATTTTCATTGCCTTAACTACACTGTAGCTACTGTGCACATGATGATAAAACCTTTGAATCTTGAGTCTTGCAATGTTTTGTATTTTAGGCTAAAGACGTGGACTATGGCAGCTTTGTGGGTCTGATGGGGCGGAGAAGTGCTGCTCACCCAAACAGTGAGTTATGTTTAGCAGGAAACACCTCTCTTAGTTTCTCACGGACACTGTATTTATTTTGGCAGGTGACATAAACACCTTGATGCCAACAGTTCACATTATTAACCAGAAGGAAAAATGTGTCTGTAATGACCTCAAACTTTAGCGATTTGAATGAATGTTATATCACCTTTTTTGTTTTACTCCGTATTTTTGTTATGTGTTTAGTTGTCGGTTTTACAACTTTTTGTTGGTCACGACTCTTTTTAAGATGCTATGTATTATTATTATTATTATTATTATTATTATTATAATCATTATTATATTTACCTCATTAATATTATTATAATTGGTCTTTTCCTTATCTAATGCAGGACGCATGGCGCACACTCTCGCTGATCTGGTGAATCACTGGTGAGTGGCACCTGAACATTAGTATCCTGTATATCAGGTTGTTCACTGCTGACAGCACTCTGAATGTATGACTTCTAAGGTGCTGATAACATTTAAATGTAGGGTATAATCCAATCGTATGAGTCTTATTCAAGTTTAAATCAAGGAAATCTACTTTCCTAAATCTCCAACATTATTAAATCATCATGTTCATCACATGGAAGGACTGATCCGAATCTGAAGCCAAAGGAGTCTGCTTCACGGCTGCTGATCTCTGGTCTGCGCTGTGCTACGCTTCCTGGCCAGATTAAACATACACAGTATAAACTCAGTTTCCAGTTTTTAATTCCGTGCCTACAAAGATCAAAGCCAGACACACAAGTTTTAACTGTTGTCCCACACCCTGTCACCGCTGAGTGACGTTCAGGCACTGTTTAGTTTAAAGCAGGGGTCGGTAACCTTTTTGATATCAAGTGCTATTTAAAAAAAAGCAGAGCACACATGTTATAATTATCATGCAGAGTGAGATGAGATCGCAGTCCCTTTGAGAGAGAGAGAGAGAGAGAGAGAGAGAGAGAGAGAGAGAGAGAGAGAGAGAGAGAGAGAGAGAGAGAGAGAGAGAGAGAGAGAGAGAGAGAGAGAGAGAGGTGGCTTGTGTGTGTTTGTGGATGGTAGAGCGACAGTGAGGGAACGTGTGTTTGTACAGAACAGCTAAATAAATGCAACGGCCTCCCAAGCAGAGCTCGCCTCTATCCAGTGGGTTATTGAACCTGAAGCTTGTTGCTTCTGCCCTCCTCGACTACGGTCTGGGAGCCGACAGGAAAGTTCAACACACAGATGGCCAGTCCGCCCCTTTGTAGCATATTATTTCGATGAGAGATCGCCACTGGGCTTTCAACTAAATACCAAATACACAGCCACGCAAAAACTGCGGCATTTGTACAGCTCCTTATGGGTACTGCAATTAGCGAAGTGCTTTCCTCCGTGGTGAAACGATCAGCACTGCACACGGAGGAAAGCGGCAGAAAGTCACCTGTAAAGAGAGCGGGGCTGCGTTGCGTGCATGGCTTCCTTCTGCAGGTAACGGGGAGACGCGCTCTGGCGGCGGTCTCGTTCAGGATCCGAAAATACAATTTAAATATTTGTGCACACTTATTCCACTTATTCCTATTGTGCCACCGCGGACCAATGCTGGCACGCGTGCCAGGGGTTGCCGACCCCTGGTTTAAAGGCTATAAGAGTTATCTGTGTTTGACAAAGAGTGACACATTTCTGTTCTTCGTGTACAAAAGGAAAAGCGTTTCCGTGTTCCAAGGAGTATTTACAGATAAGGAGCGGTAAACAGTTCAACTCTCTACTATAGGCTGAGGTAAGCGCCTGTTTAACACTTTCCATTCAGATAAATGAGAAAAACAAATGTATTGCTGAACCTTTTTCTGATCTCGCTCTCTCTCAGGTGTCAACGCTTTCTGCAGTGCGACATGTAACGCCACCTTGAAAGTCCTATATTAACCATGCAAGAATTCATTTCTACCGTCACTGGAAAATGATCTGAGATGTAATATCATGTAGAGAATATAATACAGAACAAATGTACAATAAAATATGCATTTATTTATAGTGATTAAAGTACCATTGATTGAAAATGATACCGCACACTGATCTCATGTGCTGACACTCTCACAAAATCATTTACACACTAAACTGTGTCGACTCAATTAAGACTCCAATAGCAACATAAATACTTTTCAAATATAAATACAGTAATGTACACCTTTCCCTTGGATACAATTTAGATGTAGTAGATTGTCAAGGACTGAATGTGTTGTATCACTAGCATCAGAAACCAGAGGTGGAGGTTTGGGCACCAATCTCAAATTCTTTTTAAAGGGAGCCATTTTGAATACCATGTTGATTTGGTTTAAACTGGACAGGTCCATTTAAAATAAAGAAAACTGAACATGCTGTGTGCTCATATCCAGAAGGTGTGTAAACAAACAAAAGGCATTTTGATAGGCATTAAATACCTCATACATCTTAATATGTGAAGGACTACACGAAGTTTAAGTGGTTAAAAACACTATTATAAACACTCAAAAGTGCATTTAATTTTCTCATAAATTGACAAGTTGTTCTGTTCGAATCATCGCTGCATCCTGCCTGATTCCTGAAGCCAGTTTCTGTATTTGGTAGTTGCTTTATCACACACCCAATTTAATTAATTGTTTGGTTACAAAGTAGTAAAGAACCTGGTAAAAATAGTGTTAAATATACATAATGTACTAACTAAAAAAAAACAAAGCTGATCCACCCAAAATTGGAAAAGAAATTCACAACATTGATGAAATTAAAACATTAAAATTGTCCCTTCCAAAAAGCGGCGTCATGAACAGTAATCGCTGGCTTGCACAAAGGCCATGCTCATTACATTGGAAGGATTCAGGAAAACTATCGTCCATCTGAAAGCATCACTCTCATCATGGTAAAGTCACAGTGCTGCTGACGGCTCATACAATCCCACATTTACAAGGCACAAGCTGATGAGTCCTTTTGGGGGAGATGAAGGGAACTGTGAAGTGTGTGTGTGTGTGTGTCTGTCTGTCTGTGTATCCACTGACGGCTTCATGGAGCACGGGTAGATAAGCGTGCAACATGGGGTTTCATTCCATAAAAGAAAGACATTTGACAAACTGCTTCCTTGTGCTGTGAAGGAGATCCAATCACCACAGATGGAATTTACGTCAAACTAACACAAGGTCGGGAACAGACACACATCATGAACGTTTACAATCAAATGAACATACAGTTAGAAACAAACAAGAAGCACCCGGATTCGTTACTTCCTTATTACTCATAATGACACCTACATTCTGACCAGCCTGCCTTCAGTCTGACATCATCCCTCTTTGAGAAATCTTTGGCTGGCCTGTTTACATTTCGTCCTGTGGACCATTCATTTAAAACATCATGGTCACATCATGTATGTTAATTAGCCATTGAGAAATAGGAAGTAAACTGCTCATCTGTTGAAGTTAACTTTATGTCTATAGTTTGTGGGGTTTTGGGACGGGTGTCATGTGTTTTCTTGTTCCTTTGCTATAACACTTGAATGCAGCGTGAAACAAGTTTGGGGGGCAACAAATTGTGACTGTTCTGTTCCAAAGAAACTCCTTAACCTAAAGTCAAAACATTTGTTTGAATGATTGTACAAGGTGAGGCACTTGGATTTAAATGTAATTGAATATGTATGACAAAAGCTGTCTTGTTAGCTTAAGACATATAATTGGGTCTCATTGTCTTCGAAGGCAGATAGTTATCAATGAAGTCAAACAACTCCAAACCAATGTCTTGCTGCAGAGAGTGGCAGAACAGGTTGTCTTCCGGGGTTGCAATAGTCAAGGGTAAAACAATAGGCGCATTCACACCGCAGTACTTTTCCCACAAAGGTTCATGAGAACTCTTTAGTTCTCATGAACTAAGTACAGATCGCGTTCACACCGGAATAAGTCCCTGGGGGAGGATTAGGCAAATGAAGCCGCTGACGTCACTTCTTCTTCTTCTTCTGCTTTGGGTTTACTGGCAGGCCGCAAACCACTTCACGGCGTATACTGCCGCCCAAAGTCCCCGGCCGGAAGTCCCCGGAGTTGGGGAAGGCTTCAGTAGAAGCTGCTGGGACTCCCAGGAGCTTCTACTGAAGCCTTCCGAGTAAATCGCCAGAACGCCGACACCTCCTCATCTCCACCGCTCCCATGTTTTATTTTGTGTTGCCATAAGTTAGTCTCTCTGCGTTTCTGCGCTGGGCTAATGCTAATAATGCTAATGCGAGGATAATAAAATGGCGGCTTCACAAAACTTTTTGGGAGTTTGACGGGGCGTGGTTTGCAATCCGCCCAGCCAATCAGACATAGGAACCTTTTTCTCCCACGAAAGTCCCTGCTCTCTAGCGGGGACGGAAAAGGGGGTGAAAAGGTTCTCATGAACTAATTTTAGTTCCGGCTCTTTTTGGTGTGAACGCAACATTTCGGAACTATATCGGAACTAAAGTGGGAAAAGTACTGCGGTGTGAACGCGCCTATTGGGAACAATTTGAATGAACTGGTTTTGTGAAATACTTGGTTCCCATTCCAGGTTCCCGTGGTTTCAAAAAGTGCTTTTTTTCCAAATAAAAGCAGTTTAAAGAAAGCTATTCCAAATTTAAAAAGAAAACCTTAAAAAACACCTAAAAAAACAGAAAACTAAACTAAAAGACATAAATCACCTCGTATCCCTAAGACCAGTCTTTTGTGCACAATTCACATTAGAGCAGTCCATCAGCGACGCATTCGTATGTGGGGACATTTAAAATCTAAATGGACTGTTTTTCTACCTTCGTATTAACCAGAAACATTCAGAACCCACGTCGGCCTACCTGAAAAGATCAGTTCCTTTCATGCACACATTCAAACTGTTATTTTGCTGCTGGAGCAGCAGGAGCGACTTCCACAGCGGCAGGAGGAGGATCTGCATCCTGTTTCTTGTCAGTATCGGACGGATCGCCCCCCTCCACCATTACTTTCTCCCTGGAAATGAGTTCTTCTTTACTTTCTGCAGCACCCAGCAAACTTGACTCTGAAAAACTGTATCCTAGCGGGACAGGGGGCTGGTAACGGTATCTGTAGCCATAGGCACGCAGGTGATATGTGTAGTACTCCATTAAATACATATGTAATGCATTTACATAGTGGAATGACACGGACACATCCGAGCAGCAGTTTGGACCCTGAGGAGGAAACAGAGAATGTGGTTATGAAAGATTATGGAGACAAATCACCACATTTATGAGCGGTGTTACCTGAAGTAAAGTACCTGTCAACACAATTGGTAAATATCACATTGCATATCGTTTCCACACCTTCTTGAACATCAGATGTTCAAGCACTTTTGTTACGCCCCACAAAATGGCCAAATTCCCAGAAATACAAGTACCCTGTATGTCTTGGTATGAGAGACACACCCAAAGTTAATTAATGTTACAACACTGAGAACTTTAAATGATTTCAAAGCCTTGTGGTCAGGGCCGGCCTTCGGCATAGGCAGTATAGGCGAATGCTAAGGGCGCATCAACCCATAGGGGGCGCCGAAAATTGGGGAGAACAAAAAAAAAAAAATTAGAAATAAAAAAAAAATTATTTATTATTTCATAACAACACCATTTCCCAATTTTGGATCAACAAAGTACATCTTATTATCTTATAGTAACAGAACTACGCCTATATTGCGTACAGCGCCCATAAACTACCCCCCCACCAAATCAAGTTGAACTGCCCCAGTAAAAACCATAGGTTTATGTGAAATTGTTCTTTTTTTTAAATAATGGTTTTAGTGTGCAATTATAGGTTTTAATTTTGTATTTGTGTTAATTTAAAAATAAATCTAACTCCCAAAATACGTACACAGCTTCTGTGTGCTTTTATTAACATTGGAATTTACTATGTAAGCGGCCGCGGGGGGAGAGCTTTAGAGAGCTCTCTCCTGAAAGACTGAGCGGCTCTGATAACCTCAGCTCAGTGAGGTTAAGGCACACCTTTATATGATCATTATAGTTATAAAAAAATAAGAGAATAGGTGAAAAACAGGTATAAAATACTATATGACAGTACAAAAAAGTTGTTATTAATAAACAAGAATACAGTTTGAAAGGGGAGTGATTTGTAAAATATCCATAAAGAAAAAGAAAATCTGCTTAGAGTTCTGTTTCATCTGGGTGTTGAGAGATGTATCCATAGATCTCCTAATGTTGCTCTCAAAGTACACCAGATTGATGCTTTTAACTTCAATATTAAAAAAAAAAGTCTTCCCGGGGGTGCATGCCCCCGGACCCCCCTAGAGGAGGTGAGGTCCCCCCCCCCCCCCCACTTAAATCATGTTCAAATGGATAGGAAACTAGATACAGTTACAGTCTTTCTGTTTTGGTGGTCATGCCACAACCGTGCACGCGCGAGTCATAGTAAGTGTAAGTGTCTGCATTTGGGGGGGGGGGGGGGGGGGGGCGCCAGCTAAAATCTTGCCTAGGGCAGCAAATTGGTCAGGGCCGGCCCTGCTTGTGGTGACTGTGTGGCTTTCATTGTTACTGTGGCTCAGACAGTTTGACCACAGAATATGCTAAGGTCAAAACTCTCTATGACAGCATGTTTTATCCAGATATTTCCAGTTAGAGTAAGAACAAAAAAATAAATAATCCTAGTGCTGGACGGTGAATCTCCAAAATGTCATAACACTTCACTTCAAGCAGCCACCTTTCCTCTAAAAGAACTGACAGCAGTAGCAGGAAGAGGGAAAACATAATCTGATCTCAATGTGGACAAACTAGATAAACTGTACACATTAATACAGAGGTGTTAATGTTGTCAGGTTAAGTCATATCCAAATACAATATGGATACAAGAGGGACTCTAATGCCAGATATAAGTGGGGCCAGTATCCTTTCAAACATTAGTAGAACTGAAGTTGCATCATACAAGTATGATACCAGGTAAACAGAAAGGAGAAATTATGCAATGTTTGCTGCACTTGCCTCAGCGATGGGGTAGTAGCAGTAGCTCCAATACCAGAAGCTCTTAGGAAACTTGGCGGTGAGGTGCTGCTCTGGGACAAATGGGTGAAATGTCTCCCTGTGTGACGAGTCTCTGGAGTCCCCTGCCAGCACCCCGACTTTCTCCAAGCACTGCCCCATTGCCAGGTCCTCTACAGGGGTAGTGTGAGTGCACACTTTGCTTTTAAATCCTTCGACATATCGCCGCAGAGCCTCTCTGCTCAACACATAGCCCGCTCCTCCACTCATGTAGCCCTGCTTTGTGTAGGGCTTGAATCTTCGGCCAAAGTAAATTGGCTCTTCTGGCGTGTGGTTCGCAAGAATCCACCGCAGGTTGTCTACAACTACGTAGGTGTCATCATCTGCCTTGAGGAACCAATCCGCCTCGTGGGCATGATGCTCATAGGCATAATGGAAGGCCTTGATCGTTTTCCAGTACAGTTGGTCCCGACCCTCCTTTGTATTTAAGCCCACTGTGGGGAAGTCCGGGTCATCTACAGAGCTCATGAAGATCAAAATATTGCAGTGTCGACTCCACGTGGACTTCACATGACGAGTCTTCTTTTCCAGGTTCGTGGGTCCAGTCATCACCCAGCAAAGAATACGCACCTTTTTGTATAGCTCATCGGCCATGCTGCTGTCCTCACCTAGGAAGGACATATACACATTAATATGCAGTTGGGGAGCTTATTTGTGAGGGGTTCTTATTACTTTAACAAAAATATTGGAGAATTCTGTCAAGATACTTTCAATCTTTAATTTCTATACAATAACAAATGGATATACAAATCAGCTTAGAAGTTTTGCTACAAGTTAAACTAGTATGTTTGTTACAGGAGTGCAGATTAGAGTATTAGTAGACTTTTTTTGATAACTTTAGCTGCTTCCAAAGTGCATAAACAAGAAAAATAGCAGGCCTTGTAAAACATATATTGGGTAAAATACTTTGTAGCTAGACTTTACAATAATATCGTTCTTTACTTTAGAATAATTCAGTTTTGTAATACAGAACAACTGGACAGAATGTACAGAGCAGGCTACTATAGGCATACAGGCTGAGAACAAGGAAGCTCAAACCTGATAAAGTGAGTCAATATGGTTTGGCTAAAAAAAAAAAAAAAGTCGTTGCATTATTGTACACATACAACGTCCATGTGGCGTACCTGTATGATGAGGGTGTTTCAGGTTGAAAAGAGCAGACCTCTCCTTCTTCCATACTTTCGTATCTTCGTCATTTAACTGTTGCTGGTTGTCAAGGAATTTATCAGATTGCTGTGTTGACAACGTTTTCTCCAACCACACCTGCCGCAGAAACACGTACAGAGTGAGGGTTCCCACCGCGAAACCCGCGCAGAAGGACAGTCTGGACCCGATGGCCTTCATGCTGCACCGGTGTCTCTCTGTCAGTCGTTCAACTCGGCAGGTGCTGGGTGAGATAATGATGGAGAAAGACTTATACACGTCACGAGTTTCACTACAATGGCCCAACGTTGGTGACAAGTATCAGGCGCCACTCCCACTTGTATTATTTGTACAACTTTTGTCCTTGAGACTGCCATGTGAATATCCAAATGTCTGTGTTCTCGTGTTTGTAAAGAACTATCTTTTTGTTTCCTCATATTCAGCTCCTCTTGTGCTGTTACCTGAATATTCTGTATATATTGTCAAGACATGTTCGACAGACAAACTTAAAAGAAACAAACAGTTAAAAAGAAACTCACCAGTGGTATTGCAGACACCATAGCAGCTGGGTGATCTCGCAGTTACTTCATTTCAACAGGAAACATCAACTTTGAAAAGCGAAAACTCAGCCAGGTTTTGCCTTGACGTTTTTGTATCTCTCTCCGCTCAGCTAGCCACACCAAAATGCTGCTAACAATTATCGCAGCAAGACTACCACAACGCCATATCAATAATCTTCTGGATATAAAAAAAAACACGACTGATAACAGCAGTTATGGCCTTCAGTTCCTGGCCTTGGTGTTATCGTTAGCTAGCTGGCTAGTCTGTTAATTGTCTCGACACGCCTAACTTCATTGCTAATCCTCCCTGTCGTGTCAACATAGCGGCTAAACGTAACGGAGTTATTCAGCTCACCGCGAAAACTGAAACGACTGTTAACTGGATTATCTCAGCAGTGTAAATAAACAGCCTTCAGACTAATACCAATATAAAAGTGCTCCAAAACGCTGCATAAACTACATCTAACTTATCTGACTGACTGCTGTCTAACGTCCAGTAAAAAAAAGAGCTTCCGGTCTAGTCGCGTTATTTCAAAATAAAAACGTTTCCTCCAGAGAAAATCAATCAACAGCTTCGATTCATTTGTCCACATTCAATATCTTGAATATTCACCATTAAGATCACACACTTTGATAGCTTTTAACCAAACTATGACCTATAGCCAGTGATATAATAACTACAAGTCAGTATGTTAATATTCCTGTACTCTATACTTCTACTCTATTACATTTCCAAAGGAAGTATTTTATATTCTTCTTCACCGCATTTTTGTGACATGTGTACTGAATGTACTGGTGGTTGGTCTCTTTTCTTTTTGGTACTATATATCCACCAAGCAGTATACCATTCGGCTCCATGTTGACACATGTTAAATAATTGCATTTAACATGCAGCACATTTATAATTGTACCAAACTATGAAAACATGGGGTTCCTTATAGTAATATAGTATAAATCTTTGTTTGTTAGGGACAAGTTGAAGGGTTTTAAACCATTGATATTTCTGTTTACCTTTAAGTTGCATGAAGGAACTGGATCCTGCATCCCACTCTTGAACAAAGTCTGGCTGGTTGTTTTTTACTTGGCAATAACATGCAAGAGCAATCTACATGATCTGATAAGACAAATAGTCGGTTAAGAAAAGCCAATCTACTCTTGACGCTGGTTCCCTACGGATCAAATGCCTTATTTGTGTTTGATAACGTTTGTATTGACTTAGTTACATAGTGACCTTGAGTTTCATAAAGGAGACGCACAGTCACAAATTTGAACACAATTTACTCTGATAACTCAAGCCCCACTTCATTTGTGTTAATATACAACAAATCAAATATCATCAAAAGATCTATTCACGCAATAATTATGTACATGTTGAATTACAAGTTATCACAATTATTCACAAATTATACAAAGTCAGCCCTTAAGTACACCTTTGAAGGATCCATAGAAAAGTTTTGTGTGGATTTATTATTTTTGATACGCTGAAACTGATTGAAATAGTTTTCGTTTGCTAAATAACATTCTCATCAGAAATTAAAGTACACACTTGAAAGATCTGACCATCCTAGACTGCTTTTTCTTTTGAATACCTTCAACAACCCAGGACAAATGAAAAGAAACATTTTCATTAAAGAACCTTGTTCTAGGGTTATGAAGTGACACAGCACTGTACAGACACTTGTAATCTACAGTGGTGTTTAACCTAATCCCCCAAATGCAGCAACTGAAAGTAGGAAATTAACCGTGAACTCTTTAGTATTTTTTCGCTTTTTCCATATCCAGACACGATCAGTAAACACTGAAATGAACAACCTGTGCATACACTCCTCCAGTTTGTTGAGGCATGCGCAAATCCCCCTACCTGTGTCCATTAAAGGTAAGGACTTCTTTGTCAATAGCAACCTAAAAAACTAATGTAAATTATAATTCAACTTTAAACAGTGATAACTTCAGATGGAAATGCTAACATTCAGTACAAATTAACTGAAATATAAAAAAAATATGTAGATACTGTACATCGCCATCTATCAAAACTGAATCCCATCAGAAAGGGGAATAACTTCATTCAGTTGCACAGAACAGCTGAGATGTTGCAGTTTTATCGTGCAACATTAAAATGGTGCCTACAACAGAACATATTGCCTAATCAAGACACAAGGACACATTTTCTGAATGTGCAAATAGGTGAGTTGACATTATCCACCAGGTTTAATAGCAGTAATTGAATCCTTTGGGTGGCTGCGCTTCAGAGTCCCCCTCCCTGTAGTTCTCCACAAGAGTTCACCTTCACAAAAGGTGCACTGAATGATCTCATATGTCCAGGTCGTCTGAGTCAGTGGTGCTGGATGACTGGGACTCCTCCTGGGACTCTCCCCACACAAACCTATAGTTGTTCTCCAACTCCTGCTGCCTCTTCTGCTCTTTGTAAACCTCTTCTGTGCCTCCAGTCTGGAAGATGGGTGGAAAACATGTTTTTAAAAACAACCACAGCCCTACCGACTGAATGCTGAAAATAATTACCTAGCTTACTCTAAAGCACATAACTGCTGTTACAGTAAACACAGAATTTCAGAGCATAATTCTCTAAAATAAGGTTTTAAATTAACACCAAAAAAGTAATTATCACTTCTTAAATTACCAGGAGATTTATGAGGAGCTCCCTGAAGGACTTAGTATCTTCTTCAGTCAGCCACTGATCACCTGCGTCCTCTGCATTTTTTCGTGTCAAGATCTTCACCTCAATTTTACCTGATAGAAAAACAAGGGGGAAGGTAGGCTTTCCAGTCAAACAAACGTACTTATAAGTGGCTCAAATCTGTGAAAAAAAACAATAAATCATAATGAAGAATGGCACAAACACAACAGTGGATGAAAAAGAAAGGACACAGATGGACCCAACTTTGTATTTCCCTTTGTCTCTAAGATAAGCTACAGCTATTTCCCGCTACTACGAACTTTAATGTTGCTGTTCTTAAATTAAGAACCTCTAGTGTTCACATCTTTTATCATGATCTTCATAAAAGCATGCGTTTGCTGCCAGCATAAACAATTAAGGACCCCTTTCAGGTTTTAAGCATGAAGTTAAGCATCTTCTTAACAGCTTAACTTTGTAAAAACATAGATCTGACAATTGTTGTTTTTTAAAGAATAGAAAAGTACAGAAATACCATGTGCTCAAGATAACAGATGGAAGAGAGAAAAGGCTGTGAGTGTTTCGGGCTCTCCCCCCCCCCCCATACCTTCTGCCTTGAGTCCTGCTTTCTCTAGCTGTTCTTTAACCACGTCCTTTATGTGCTGCCACTGCGGGTCTCCTTCGCCCATCTCCTGAACTTTGACCTCCCCATCAGGGCTGCTGCCCGTCTTATACTTAGTAATTTTGATCTTAACATGGTCGTCATCCGCTTGGTCTGGGTTGACGAGACAGAAAGAGGGACAAACAACACAGTTCACCGCAAAATCCCATCAGCAGGGCCACAGGATGGAGGAGGTAAGAGCCAAGAATGTGTAATCTAAACATTTTTGAACCGTCATAGATTTATAATTCTGTGATAGTTTATCAATTTGGATGTAATCACTGATTGAAATCACCCACATATACATCAATGGCAGCAGAGAAAAGACCACTAACTATGCTAAAAAATAATAATCTGACAACATAAATTCTCTGTGAATCATACTAACTCCATATGTGCGTATATTTTTGGATGGAAGATCACAACAAACAACTACAGTACATGTGAATGAAACATGAGGAGGATGGAGACAGTGTGTACAGATGTGAACATGAGCCAATAAGGGCAGGAGGCCGGGTTACCTGGCTGTTTTGGGGCCAGGCTGGGGCTTCCCCTGGTGGGGTCGCTGGCTCTTTGACCTCCAGCTGTTTGCTGCTCTGGATCCTGCACCTCTTTCTCTTCCAAATTGTCAAGTAACTTGTCCAGCGTCGTCTCCAGTGTCTGTGTAGCTTGAGTTCGATCAAATTCCCCTTTAAGACCTTCTGTCTCTAATTCCTGCTGAGCCTATAACACAGTAGAAAGCCAATCATGTCAGAGTATTGGTAAGTCGTGGTGGCAGATCTGGCTTATAACATGTTAATATTGTTCTCTTAACATCAATCTTGGTGTTAACATTTCATATTGTCTCTAGCGGGAAACCTCATTAATGATGTTGTCAAAATCCTTCTGCATTTCCTCCTTTATCTCTTCAATCTTTTCAGAGGGCACTGAGAGGTCCGCAATCTCATCCTCGAAGTCCTGTAGCAAGTGTTCATCCTCGCCCAGCTTCTCGGTTACTCTGCTGCTCTCTGCCGGGTTCTCTCCTTGACTTTTGGCTTGATGTTGTGCTTTCTAAAAAGAAGAAAATTATTGATTTGAAAAACCCGTGATCAGGGGCCTCATTTATAAAGCTTTGCATAGGATTCACGTGGGAAGGTTGCTTACGTAGGACAAAGAAAATAAATACGCACAAAAATATTCCGATTTATAAAACAATGCGCACGCACGTCCTACGCCGGTTTCCCTTTATAAATCACAATCAACTCGAAATGCGGCGCAGTTTTTGCGGGCTTCACGTAACGCCCATATTTGCCTATAAATAGTCAAAGAAACGCCCCATATTAATATTCATTTTGACTGACTGCATGAAGATCGCAGGAAATGTAATGTAATAAAATGACGACAGAACAACAGAGTCAGATTTTGGTTCTTTTGGGGAGGTGGAGACAAATCATATTGTTTGGTGGATGCAGTTTGAACCAGCATGGAGGTCGGATCGTTACCAAGATAAATAAATAAATAAATAAGTGGTCCGAAATAAGTTAATGACAAAATACACATAACCTTCCTCAGGCAGTGTGTCAGTGTTTGTACCGGGGACAGGAGACACCCCCCATGATGAGAAACTGTAAGAAATGATCGGGGAATCTCTCTCCGGAGTGGAGTCATGACGACTGGATCTACATTTGTATTTTTTATTTGGTGGTTTGTGTTCCAGCTGTCGATCAGCTGTGCGCAGCGTCTCCACTGCAGCCTGTGCATCTCAACCCAGGCATTTTTTTAATCATTTTAAGATTGGCTTTAATCAATTTGTGAAAATGAATTCTTCATATGATAAATGAGAGGTAACATTCTATTTATGGTATTATTCCCACATATTTCTCTCCATTCTTCCTTCTGCCAACGGTGTCGCAGTTTCTCGTCTCTCCCGTTTTTTTGCGTACCACGTACGGATGGGTCAGAGTTTGCGTGGAGGACCGCACATTTTCCCGTCAAGTTTGTTTTTTATAAATCGCAAAGATTGCTTAGAAACTGGCGTATGCCATCTTTTGAGCGTACGCACCGTTTATAAATGAGGCCTCGGTGAGTAGTGATGTTTTAATCTGGGTACGTACTGACCTTCTTGTTACTCTCTTTGAGATGTTGGACAAATTTCATCAGGTCTGCTGGGTCAGTAATGATTTTAAAGTTGAATTTTTCGACTGAAAGAGACAAAAGTGAAGAGAGAAAAGT